TGGGCTGCGCTGCTGGAAACAACCTGGTAGGATATATTGATGTTTGTAGAGCCCAGAGTTTGATTTCTAACACCTGTGTGAAAACTCGTAGCATTGCACTGCAGTGAACTTAGTTGCTGATGTCATGCAGAGGCAATCAATGGGCGCTCTTTTTGGTATAAATGATTAAGCTGCAAGAGTGAGTGTGGAGGGAACCGCAGCGCAGGGTTCGTTTTCACCTGCACTTTCCATGGGCTGGTGCTGTGGGACCAGGCTGGGAATGCTTGTCCTGGGTACGTGCTGTGGGTGCGATAAGCTGTAAGAAAGGTGAGGAGCTATCGGGAATGAGCTACATTGGCTGCCTTTGAATCAGGAGAGCAGGACCCTGTGCAAGTACCTCCCATGTGGGTCTGGCTGCAGGAGGGTTTTGGGTGTGAAGGGCCCTTTGTTTTACGCGTTGGTCTCTGTATGTTCAGCTCGGTGTTTAAAATGTTATAGGGCTGAGGTAGAATCTGTTGCTGATGAAAGAGGACACAGGAAAAACCTGGTGCATACCATGGTTTGTCACGCCGTCCTGCTGTTGCTGTTCTGTGCCTTTTAATCTTTAAATGCCTTTAAACAGCACAACAGGAAATCATGCAGGTATTTAAGCTCTAAGATGCTCTCTTAGAGTGATATAAAATTTTCCCTTTATTTGCCAGTATCTAGCAACACAAATTTATACATGACATGATAGAAAGCAGCTACTGCACATTTGGTTGAAAGCTGCTAATGATCAGGTGAGGTAGATGAAGAACTGTTAATTGTTTACTCAAAACTCTTTTCCTTAGAAACTGTGTTGGGAAGGTCTGGTATTCATCCGTTACCAAATGATAATTTAAAAGCCTTTCTATGGTGATAATTTTCTAATTGGTTTAATGAATGAGGAAACTCTCTGAAGCTTCGGGCGCACTTGAGCTGCTATCTACAGCCTGCAATCTACAGAGGTGGTTTTCTTTTACCCATTTGTCACATCAGAAGCAATCCATAGCTCTGTAAAACAAATCAGTCATGAAATGGGCAAACGTGAGTGTGAAATTAGGCTTTCGCAGCTATACCGGGTTGTCATGAAAAGCTTTCCTGTAAATAAAGGCTCAGCTGCAGAAATTTTTCTACTTCCTTTCTCTGCTTCACCCTCCAACCATTTGCAGATAAGCTTGAATGGTTTAGGACTAAAAATCAATGCTTTTGCCCTGATACTTTGCTGGATTTCAGCCCGGCCTACTTGTTGCAAGTGGCTTTTCTGGTGTTTGCAGCTGTATCCCCTTATGAGATTCATGTACCTGGCTGCACCTCTAAGTCAGGCAGCTGTCATGTTAGAGGTAATTGCTGAAAATGCAGGCATTTTACTCTCTTTTTCAGCTAAAAAGTGCATTTTAATAGCTTTAAAGTGCCTATGCGTGTGTGCCTGGTCAGTGCTTTTGAATTACCTGGCTGCCTTGGGGCCCCAGATACTCAAGATCTGGATGGCTAGATTCGGCCCTCAGTTCCAATCCAGACTTGAGTGATGAAATTGAGCCTCACACGGTCTGGCTGTGCCTTGTTCTGTGTCGGAGATCAAAGCTTTTCTCTTCTCTCTGCAGGACTATAAGATCCGTGGTCAGGATCTGTGCTGGTGCTGGGCTCTGGGTGCTGGGGCTCTTGCAGGATGGCCAGGACCTCCCTTGGGAAGGGATCTCCTAACGCGGATCTGATGATGGAGCTGCCTCTCTCTCAGCTGCCAGCTCTTTGCGAGCCCTCTGAAGGGGACACGGTGCAGGTGCCATGGGGCCAAGGTCCTCTCCTTTTCTGTGCTCTGTTGTCCTGGGCCCTACCTGCTTGGGGTCGGGGGAGGCTGCTCTGCACCGGTTCACAGTTACTGACAGTGTGGATATTTCAAGAGCCAAATCCGGAGGTGAGTGCGGGATCTCTGGGATTTCCTTACTGGGGAGATTCAGCCGGAAGAGTATGGGAAGCTGAAGCCATTTGGTGGCAAAATGGTAACCAAAATCCCATTCAGGCAGTGTCCTTCAAGCAAGGCACTGGGTTGCTTTCCTACAGAAGCTCAGGAGCAGCTGGCAAAGCAAATCCTGTGTGTGTGGATGCTGTGTGCAGCTGTGCTCCAAAGCACAGAAAGGGACTCGAGAGCACTCAAAATGGGCTGGAGGGAGCTTAGTGCTAGGTGGAAAGTGTGTGTGATGTGTCTGCTTTTCCTTTGATTGCATTCAGGCAGTTCAACTTTGTCCAGCCTGTCCCAGGTGTTGTACAATTGGACACCCCCAAGGAAAAGGCTTGGGGCTATTCTGCTGCTGGAAACTTGAAATTTGTAAAGGTGTCCTTGAGAAAAGATGCCACGAGGCTTGAACAAGATATGGCTAAGGGTACACCAAGCTGGGAAGCAGAAGAGGAGCAGAAGAAACTAGTGAAACCAGTCCCTGGGGGGATAGAGGGAGCCAAGAAAGAGATGATTGCAAAACCAGCCCCTCAGGTGGAGGAAGCTAAGGAGAAGATGATGGCAAGACCAGCCTCTGGAGTGGAGGGGGGCAAAGAGCAGCAAATGGTGAGACCAGCCTCTGAAGCAGAAGGAGGCAAGAACAAGTCAATGGCAGGACCGGGCTCTGGGCTGGAGGAAGCTAAGAAGGTGATGAGCATGAGACCAGCTTCTGAAGCATAAGGAGGCAAGAACAAGTCAATTGCAGGACCGGGCTCTTGGGTGGAGGAAGCTAAGAAGGTGATGAGCATGAGACCAGCTTCTGAAGCAGAAGGGGGCAAGGAGAAGTCAGTGGCGAGAGTAGCCTCTGGGATGGAGGGAGCTCGTGAAAACAGCACATCCAAAGACAAAGCAAAGCCAAAAGAGCCTCTTGCATCAACAAAAAGCGGTGGCTTAAGATCTGTGACTCGGGCTGCTGCAGTGACAGAAAAGAAAAGACTGAAAGCTGCTGATTTCAAATCTGAGCCGCAGTGGGATTTTGAGGACCAGTACGTTCTGGACAGCTCATCTCCGTCATCGGTAAGTGCCGGCCATGTGTGGGTCTTTGTCAGGCACCTCCCTGTGGGTTCCCTTATCTGCTGTCCACAGCACAGGTGTGTCCCTTGCCATGGAGGGCCATCTCCAAGCTGGGGGGCCAATCCAGCATTATAAGCGAAGCTGCTGGGACCCAGAGAGGGAGAGTTGTATCAGCAGAGCTCAGTTGGCCTGGCCAGCCTTCTGCCATGCTCCAGTGTGAGGAATGGTTGTAATTATGCACGTTTCTGCGGGTTTTTTTTCTTTGAACATTGGCTGGACCTGCCCTTTCCGGAGTTCAAATGCTCGAGGAGCTGGAGAAAATATCAGTTCTCTTAGGTGTGCCAAGTCAAAACAATGTCAAAGAACGGGGTTAGATGGTGATCAATAGATGTGTGCCTGCCTGCTTTGGAGGCGTGCTAGAAGCTGTTCCCATCTGTAAGATGTAAGATCTGTTAATACTGGCTAAAACTCAGGTACATGTGGGTGTGCTTTATGAGGGAAGAGTTCAGCTAATACACCAGAGAGTATCTTTATTACTGCTTTTGTGGCTTATTGTAAACAGAAACATGAGAGACTCTCCCAGGTGCTGCTGAATCACCTTTTCCGCCAAGTGTAGACACTCCTAATGGGCAGTCAGACCCATCTGGAGTTCCCCTGAATTAAGATGGTCCTGGATTGTTGGGTTGCTATCAAGGATTTTCTTGCTATGTCCTGAACCATCAGCAGAGCAAATCTTTCAGGTAACAGATCACTCTTTGTTCCTGCTCGTTAAACAGGAGCAGCTGAAGACTTGCTCAGCACAGGACAAGGATTTTGGTATTGGTGAAGATGGGAATTTCAAATGATATGGTCAGACCTGTCAAAGCAGTAACACTTGCACAGCCACGGCTTAAAGGTGTCTTGTGTAACCTCCTTGCTAGTTAGTTATATTAGTTCTAGTGACTCTGTCTGAGTAGGACACGTGCAGGTCTGGCACAGGGGGGTGGTCTGCTCTCCATCTGCTCATGCAGGCTGGCACTTGCTGGCTGTGCTAAGGCCACATTAGTTGCTGAGTGCAAACAGGCTTGGATTCCCATCCCAGCTGCACGTCTCCCCGTTTCCTCTTTATCCTTGAGCAAGTTGTTTGAATGCCTTTTCTTATCTTTAAAGATGATGATGATAGTCATCTGATCCCACACATTCCTCGCTGTGTTTTCGCATGTGCTCAGCTCTCTGAGGCCGGGTCCTTGTGAGGTGCGTTGCTGACAGGGGACGCTGGCCTCACGCGGTATGTTTGGGTGAGGCTGATCACAAGTTTTGAGCTGTGGCAAATAATGAGGCCTAGAACCAGTAAAAGTGATTTGGTGCAAGTGTCTCAGGCCTGTTCTCTTAGGAAAAGAAATTCCTTAGAGACCTGGAATTGCCCTGGCTTCCTCATGGGAGGTTTCCTCACAGCTGTTTGTTGATGTGATTCTGAGCTTGTGCCTCATGTTCATGGTGATGTTGAGGAGGATGGCAGATGCACGACTGGAGTTTCTGGCTTCCATATCCTCACACATGGGTGTGCACTGACACTTGGTCAATTTTGGCAGCCTACTGCTAATCAGGCCTCATCATTTTCTTTTGTTCTTCAAGACCTGCTCTGACTCAGTGAGGGCCAAAGCTGCCAAATCTGCCTGGCTGCGAGATCTTTTCCTGCCCAACATCACGATCTTCACAGACAGGAGATACTTCAATGATAGCGAGTGGAACCGCCTGGAGCATTTTGCACCTCCCTATGGCTTCATGGAGCTGAATTATTCCTGTGAGTATCTCAGGGCATATTTGGATGGGGCCACCAGACTCCTGGCAGCAAACCTGTGGCAAGTAGCTGGAGGTTTGCAGCATCTCCCCCCGTCAGGTGGAGGCCTAAATGGATCCCATGGTGGAAACTGCAGTTTCCCATGCCTATTTCCAGGCTCTTAATGCTGCCACTTGACTGTGTTTGCTTTGCAGTGGTGAAGGAGGTCATGTCCTTGCTGCCTCCAAACCCCCACCAGCAGCTTCTCCTGGCCAACAGCAGCGGCAACCTGACAAGGTGCATCAGCTGTGCCGTTGTGGGGAACGGGGGAATTCTGAATAACTCCAGGATGGGCCAGGAGATTGACTCCCATGACTATGTCTTCCGGTAAGACAGACCCTTTACTATTTTCACTCTTACAAGATACCCAGCTAGCAGGATAACTGTGCCTGAATGACTTTGTCTTTCCCAGTATTGCATTGCCTCCCAAGTGTCGAAACAACAGGAGCAGGCAAAATGACAGAAAAAGCCAAACCAAAATGGTATTGGGAGATACTTGAACAGGAAAGAAGAGTCTATTGGGGTTTGGAGATGAGCCCTGAAAAGCCACCCCAAAGCAAAGGGAAGCAACTCTTCCACAGCTGAAGAATAGTTGCTCAAAATGAGTCTAATCTGCGTTTTTTTTTTTTTTCTTTCCCAGCTTGTTTTTATAAATGCAGACATCAGGGTTTAACCTGGTCAGCTGCTAACTCTGCTCCTCTGTTTGATCTCCTCTCTCAGGGTGAGCGGGGCCGTAATCAAGGGTTACGAAAAAGATGTAGGAACAAAAACCTCCTTCTATGGATTCACAGCCTACTCCCTGGTGTCCTCTCTCCTGGTCTTGAATCATAGGGGTTTCAACAAGATTCCAAGGGGAAAAGTAAGTCAGGTCCATGTTGTACATGTGCTCAGCTTTGACAGGATGCTGTTTGTGGTGGTCAGTTCTGAATTTCCCTTGATGAAGAGCCGTGGGGCCAATGTAACACCTTGGTGTTACCTGTTAGGAAGGAACCTCCATCAGTTTAGCTTGAGAGTGAGCAAATGGGCTCGAGTCCTACCCCAGCCCTTTGTTCTATAAAGTAGTCACATACCAAATGTTAGCTCCATTCTGCTTATATATAATAGTTAAAAGCTATGGACTCTGTGTCTGTGTCCAAGACATTTGGTGAGCATAGATACCCGCTTGCTTTTTGTTTTTTAAGGATGTATTGCTTTTATACTGTTCATTAACCCTTGCTTGTTTTCCTAGCACGTCAGATACATTCACTTCCTGGAGGGTGCCAGAGACTACGAGTGGCTGAAGGCTCTTCTGCTCAACAGAGAAACCAAGAAGGGAGTCCTGAATCACTACGGGTAAAACAAATAGGGCCCATCTCATGACCTTGATTGCACAGCATTCCCCTGTCATCTCTTCCAGCTGCAATGTTGTATCCAGCCTTGCTGAGATGTAAGACAGGGTAAAGCAAGGTTAAATCCTCCTTCACTTGCAGATTTATTTTGATGCTGCATTTGCTCCCCAGCTCTGAGCACCACCTTCACCAACACATCACCTTCCCAGAAGTAGCTGGTTTCAGTGGTGGGTAGCAGTTTGTGCTTGGAAAAATCTCTGTGGTCCTCTGGGAGGAACATGTGCTACTGTTTGGTCTGGTGTCTGTACCTGATGCCCATACTCTGATGTTCCTGAGTGATGTTCCTCTGCTCTTCCCCCTCTTTCCTCACCTCTTCCCCTGCAATGCACACGGGGTTTTGTCATCACCTAGGAAATGCTGCAGAACAGCTTGACACCATTTGTGTTTCCTTTCTCACCACCAAGTGAATCAGGGCTGATGCTTTCCAGCCATGACAAGATATAGGAGCTTGTCCTGAGTGTCCCCATTCCTGTCCTTAGGAAAAGGCCCCGAGAGAGATTTGATGAAGATTTCAAGCTGGACAAATACCTGGTGATTCACCCTGATTTTCTCAGATACATGAAAAACAGGTGAGCAAGGGGTTATCTGCTCTATTTTTTTATTTATTTCTTCTTTTTTTTTTTCTGGCTAGCACCTTCTCTCTATGTCTCTGGGCTTTTGTCTTCTCAGCTTGCTTTGTGCTTTCCATACCTTCCATAGCTCAGTACCTTGGAGGAAGGCTCTGTAACACCCCCCTCTTCTCACATTCCTCGACTCAAGCTGTTTGTGCCCTTAAGCATGAGAATAGCCACGTCTTTGGTATCCCACTCCCTTGTTCTGACTGCTCTTCTTTGCATTTCTAATCCTTTTTGCAACCCTTATAGACACTGTCACTGAAAAATCTGGCAAGCATGGGCCACAGATGATTGAGCTGCAGCAAGAAGAGCTCCTGTTGTGCCACGGTTTGGCTGCATTTGCTCTTCAGTCTCCTTGAGGGCTGAGTTATGCTTTTCTCTGAGAGAAGACAAATGCAGTGCCAGATGGCTCGTGCTTACCTGGGTGTTCTGCCATCTCCTCTCTGGCTTTGGTCCTTTCCCAGGCAAAGAGGGCTCCTTTTTTATTATTTTATTTATTTATTTTCTCCTAGTTTGGAATCCTGCCTTTCTAACAACCACTGGTGCAAAACATCACAGCTCCTAACAATTTTTTTTTGGCTCCTACTCTGTGCCTTCCTGCATTATCTTTCTTTTTTTTTTGTTTCCCTGCATAATGGATAGTGATAAGGATATACCAAAGGGCTCCAAAGGCATTCCTATACTGCAAGGCAAAGGAGAGATGCGAGAACAGGCTTTAATGCAATAGATCCTTTAATCCGCCACGTCTTTACGCTACCATTGGGTGACCTAGCACTTTCACAGAGCTTAGGCTGAGCTGAGCTCAGTGTAGACTTGCAGGTTACAGTGTGGCTGGTGGCCTCGTGCTTTACTGAGCCTGCAACAGCTCCCCTGTGCACACACTTGTGCGTGCGTGGATGTTTGTCACAGTGTCCTCGATGCACTGGATGTGACTGCAGTGCTGCGTCTCTCCCCAGACTGTGCAGTGACTGTGCTGCCAATAGCAGGTCTGCAGTGCCCAGCATGGCCACAGGCTGCTGCAGGGACAGAGGTGACACACAGACTGCAGCGGGGCGAGTTCTGACTATCACACCCAGCAGCTGCTCCACACTTTCTTCTCCCGCTGCAGGTTTTTGAAATCCCAAAGTCTGAAGAAGTCCTACTGGCGGCTCTACAGACCCACGACAGGGGCCTTCCTGCTGCTTACTGCCCTCCATCTCTGTGACAAGGTGAGGACACGAGGGTTCCTGCGCTCAGCACTGCCCAGAAGAGGGGATAGAATAATAGGGTAGAGCATGGGCAGCCACCATCTGCCTTGAGGACAGAGGGGTTCTTGCAAGCTTCAGAGGAGTTAACTGAGGGCAAGAGAAATGACCCCAGAATGGATCACATTAAACTCATGATGCCTCCTGCAGCTTCAGAGCTGCCTTTGCTCCAACGAGGTAATTTGAGGGGAGATAAACCCCTCTGGAGTTGTCATTTGCAGTCTGGTCTATGGGGACCCCCCATCTGGGCACTATGTTCTGTAATATGCTAAACACCTTCCATCCTTTGTACCTCTCCAAACTGAGGCCTCTGTCCTTCCCAGGTGAGTGCCTATGGCTACATCACGGAGGGTCACCAGAAGTACTCAGATCACTACTATGATAAGGATTGGAAACGTCTGATCTTCTACATCAACCATGACTTCAACCTGGAAAAGGAGGTGTGGAAAAAGCTCCACGATGAGAATATCATGAAACTCTACCAGAGATCCTGATTGTGTCTCAAGTGCCATTGCATGGGATATCTCAGCAACACTTCAGGGGAAAAGGAGGAGTATTTCTAGAGCCATGCCTAGAGCCAGGCTTAGCTCTGGACTACAAGGCAGTTTTATCTGTACCAAGTTACTTTGAATATCTGTTTTGTGATATTTCTACAAGTGCCACTGGTCAGGAGAACAGACAACAAATGCAGCAGGTCAGCAAAGGCACATCCCCATCTGACTATGTCGCAAGGCCCATTGTGGATGGTTTTTGACTCTGGTTTTGGAATGGAGGAATCCAGAATGGATCTGAGTAGCAGCTGGTCCAGTGTCCTGCATCTTCATCCAAGTTTACTCTCTCTGCCATGGGATGCTCCTCTCCTCAGTCTGGGACTAACCTGTTTGCTCTGGGTTCCTCTCCTCTCCCTTAGCAGTGCCCATCTCAGGGCTGGATGTCTCATCTAAGCGACCTCCCTCTGCGGCCAGTGGACAGAGATGGGTGTTAAGGATCCCAAGGGGATGACTTGGCTGAGGTGCCCCTCTGGCTCTACTACCTTCCGTTAAAAAGGATCTGGACACTTCCAGATGGCTGTTAGAACAGGATGAATCTTATTCTGCTTCTCACCAAATTGTTTTCATGACGATACAGAAGGAGCACAGTGATGGCCGGGGTCTGATCCGCTGTGCTGAGCCCGACTCAGTAAAAGGGAAGGTAAATGCTCTCTGTGGTGCAAAACCTCCTCAGGCTGATCCGGCGCTGCGGGCTCTCTGCGCTGCAGGACTCGGCAGCGCCGGGGTGCAGTCCAGGGGTGCCAAGTCGGTGCTTAGCTTGGCCTTGGCTTGCTCGGCATCCACCGTTTTCCTGGGAGATCCGCGAGCTCTCCAAGGCCAGGGATGGATGCTCTGTGCTTGCTGTGGGCCGGAGCGCCTGTCCCTGTCACACGGAGCACGAGAGGCCTGGTTGCAACCAGCGAGGCTGCAATGTGTTTCCTTACAAATGGGGTTTTGCAAACAAAATAAATGTCACTGCTTTGGCTGAGCTGATTTTCACCGCAGCCCTGTGGGATGTGGTTATTTAGTCTGTGCCCAAAACAGTTGCTCAGACACTGCTGTACAGGGGGATGGAGCCAAGAAAGGGAGGGAGAGGAATGAAATGGCGTTAATGGAAAGGCCTCCTGGTGCTCTGCAGCTTGTGTGGATGCACCTGGGATGTCTCGAGTTGTCCACCTTGCTAGGGCAGGACAGAGATCGGATCTAAACCTCCCCGAGAAAGGGGGTAAATACCCAGCACACCTGTCCTTGGCCCGGTGGCTGCTTTCTGAGTATGTCAGGTGCTGGAGGCAGCTGCCCCGAGGGCTGCATGTTTTTCCCATGACACTCACAGTGTCCAGGCGAGCCCAGCGCCTCCCTCGGGTTTGGCAGGCTCTGGACGGGGGCCAAACCGCCCCTTAACCCTCTGGGCCCAGTGCACCTGCACTGACTGCGAGGGGTTTCCTCGGTCCTGGTGTTGTCTGGTGGCGGTAGCGTCCCCAAGGACCCACCAGCACCTCCAGAGCTGGCCCAGGACCGCGTCCCGGTGCCAACGGAGCTCTGGGCGCTGCCGTGTGTTGCTGCTGTCCTGTGTCCCCCGGGTCCTGCCTTTCCCAGCGCGATGCTGGAGCTTTTGTTCCTGCCCGCCAGCCCGGCCGGGCCGGATTGCTGCGGGTTGCTAGGGGATGGCCCCGCACACGTATTCTTCCCCGCTGAATGGGGCTTTTCTCTTCCTGAGAAGTTGCAAGGAGTTGCTCTTCGCTCCTTCCCTTCCCCCTCTTCCTCTTTTGTCTCCTTCTCCCGAGGGAAGCGGGACGGGGCCGGTGCTGGGCCCCACTGTGCAGGGCGAACGTGGTGGCCAGAAGAGCAGCCTGGTGCACGGGCTCATGCTCCAGGACCCATATTTTCCCCCAGCTCTTCTGTATGGCCGAAGCTTCCGGGATCTTGGGGAAGGAAACCTCCCTGGGAGCCCCTTCCCCTCCGAGCTGCCCTCTCAGGACGGAGTGGACGCAGCAGCGGGTTTGGTGCCTTTTAGTTCTTGGTGCTAAATGAAGAGGCTTTGTAGAGAAAGTTCCGCAGCCTCCCTGGCACAGTTCAGAGCCACGGACGGAGGACAGTTAGAAACGGCCTCCTTGGCAAGAGCTGGGGTGCAGATTTTGGGCGAATCCCCTGCCCGTGTCGACCCTCAGTGGAAACAGCACTGCCGGATCAGCCTGGGCCTCCCAGTGCAGCCGCACTGAGGACAGTGACTGGGCCGTGGTCCCTGGCCACCCCAAACACCCGCAGCCGGGTCCCTGGGACCAAGGAGCCGGCCTGGCAACCTTGTCCCGGTGCCACCAGGTGGCAGCTCTCTTCCAGGCACTGGCGCTGGCTCCATCCGTCCAGCTCTGGCACTGGCTGTGCCAGCGGCTCCCTGACGGCTCCAGGTGCATGGCCAAGGGCTGGAGGCTGGTGCTGGGCTCTCATCCCTGCACTGTTTGTAGCAGCAGGATGCGTTTAGGAGCTGGGAACTCCTTGGGGTGCAGGGGGCTTGCACAGAAGAGGTTTGGTCCTTGTGAGAGCCACCCTTGCTGTCCCCAAGAGCTGCTCCAGGGCTGAGGGCACAGGACACTGTGGCGCGGGTTGCTACAGCAAAGCAAGGATGGCAACAACCAGGTGGAGCAGCACAGTGCCAAGGGACAGCCCCATCCCGTGCCACCCTGCACGGCGCCAGGGCAGCACGGGTGAAGGGACATGCGGCAGGATCGGTCCTGGCACCCCAAGAGGTGGCCCAGAGACACAGCAGCTCCGTGGAGACAAGGTCTCCCCAGCGCTATATGGACCATCAGCGTCTTTCTGCACGGCCAGCCAGGAGCTCCAGGAACCTGCTGGATTTAAGCCAGGATGTTGAACCTCTGATCCGGGGATCCTCTCATCTCTACATGAGCATCTGCAGAGGCTGCTGCTCTCTGCTTCAGTGAGATCTCTACCTTTTTGGGGAAGGTACTGATGAGAACCCCTTATCTATTACTGCAGCTCTGCCCCATTCTTCCCTGGTGTCCCCAGGAATTATTTACCCTTAAAAATTCCCTGCTGGGCTGGGAGACAGAAATCCACCGTTCACCCAGGAGGTCTTGCAGGGCCCAAGGTCTTGGCAGGGCTCCGACTCTTCTGTTTGGTTTCTGCTTCTTCCTTCTCCACGGCGGGATTGCTGCCCTGCCTCTGGCGGAGGCAGCACCGTGTCCAGCTGTGTGTGCTCAGGCACGTAGCTCCTCGGAGAAGGAAGGAGCCCGGGGCTAGAGCAGGGATGTAGTGCCCTGGGGGCTGCTCCTGACCCATCTTGTTACCAGCGTCCCTGCAGGCCCCTTGGGGACATGTCCTGGGACCCTGGGCACCTCTTAGTGGTGGCAAAATCCGAGCGCAGAGCCCGGGTGCCGTGGGGCGCTGGGAGGGGGTTGCTGCACGTGCCACGCGCCCGGCTCCAAGCACAGCACGTGCCACCCTGGGGGCGGCAGATCCAGCTTGTCACTGCGGTTCCTCTTCCCCAGGCAGGAAACCAAGGTGCAGAGCAGGAAGGTGACCAAGACGGGGCTGGGATCGCCACCAGGCACCCCCGCACTCGCGCTCTCCGGGGCTGTGGCTGCTGGTTCCAGCTCCAGAGGCGAGAGAGGTTGGGACCGGCCCTTCACACGCAGGGGCGCTGGGGGAATGTCCCCTCCTGCGTCCACGGTGTGGCTCTAGGCTCCTTTCTCCCTGTGGCAGCAGAGCAATCCAGGCAGAGCAGAGACACTATTGAGAACAGGAGGGAGAAGGTGATAAGGGGTGCAGGTCCCTGCACCAAACAGCTCCCCAGGGTGCAGTGGTGACTTGGGCCTCCTTTCCCTCTCCCAGGAACGCAGTGCAACTCTGGGTGCTGCTGTTCTGGAGCGTGCAGGATGCCTGAACCCCATCCTGAAAAGGAGGTGACATGGGACACTACTCGGCTGTGCCCTGCGCCTGGATGGGATGGAGGCAGGAGCTGATTCCTCTGGCACTGTGCGAGTTCGGCAGTACCTCAGGTTCCAGCTTTGGAGCCTGGGGACACTCACACAGAGGGAGTGAGCCCCTCGTGGGGACATCAGGGCTGTGCCTGGGGTGGGAGGAAACAGGGGAGAAAACATCAAAGCAGCCTGAGGGTAACAGTCGCCTGCTCCGTTCCTGGGCTGCTCGTGGCCGGTGCTGGTGCCGCCCAAGCCCTTCACGCGCTGGACGTGGTGCTGAGGGGCTGCCCCTGGCCCGGGCGGCTCAGCCTGGTGGGACAGCAGGGACCAAGCGCTGCAGGGCTGCAGCCCCAGGGCTGCACTGCGAGTCCTGGAGCAGCGGGCCGAGTCCTGGGAATGTCCCACGGCTCCGTCGCGGGGACGGGCTGCAGCACAGCCCCAGCCGCGGTGCTCGGGATGGGGACATGGCCACGGCGCGCTGGCCGAGCCGCGTTCCCTGCTGCTCTCCCAGGTCCCGTCGGGAAGGGGCTGCGCGTCCCCCTCCCGGGACATCTGCTAATGAGTTTTTCATTGTGCAACGGCCTTGCCTCCATATGGTCCCGCGTTCCCCCCGCCTGGAGCAACACGCTGTAAGTGCAGACTCTGGTTTCTCCAGCAAGCTTCCTCTGAGCAGGTTTTTGGCAATTCCTTCAATGCACCTCTGACTTCTGCTGGCCAACCTGGGCTATATAAATCCTCAGGGAGATCTTCGGAAAGGGATTTCTCCCAGCAGGACAGTTCATCGTGGTGAAGCCCATGAGACTTCACCCATCCATGGCTGAGAGCCAAGTGGTGTGAAATGTTCTTCTTTTCTTCTCGCTGTCTCTAGCACTGTGGACATCTCGCATTTTTTTTCCAAGAAGGAATTAGGGGAATAAAAAGTCCAGGCTAAAAATGATGCTTGTTGGTTTTCATTATAATTCGTGTGTTCTTTTTTTCCTAATCTTTATTTGGCAACTATTGTTTTAGAAGTTTTTCACACTTACTTAACTCCCTAAATAAGTACCGCTTAATTTTGAGGCATGGGCCAAAATGCATCCTAGCATAAAATAAGTAAAGCAGATGCAGAACTGTGTGTCTCAGTTTTGCTTGTAAAACATGAGTAAAAAAACACTTACATGGTGGAAACACAGAGATGGGAAGGACGTCAAGAAACCAGCTCCTCCATCCCTCTGGGCAAATGGACCAAGGCTGCCTCTCACCAGCGTTTGCGTCATCGGGCCATGAAAGTGTCACCAAAGGTGACACTTTGGACGTTCTCTGGGGCTAATAGCCCCTTTCACAGGGACAGGGCCCTCCTCCTCCTCCCTGCCCGACCTTCGCCAGCAGCCCCTGCCCCCGGTGCTGCTGGAGATTGAATGTCCCCACGTCTGTCTGTCCCCTGGGGGTTGAATCGCAGCCCTGAGAGCCCGCAGGAACTTCCAGTTCTTCTTGTTTATTGGTCTGATACTAATTCTGAAAGCGAAATGAGGGACTTTTGGCTAAGAGGGGCTTTTGGGGAAAAAGATGTTGCAAAATGGACACCAAATTTGCTTTTTTTCTCTCCCATTTTTCTTTCTTTCTTTAAACTGTCAGCATCATTGAAAACTGAGCTGAGCAGGTAGGGATTGAAGCCCTGGCGGGAGTGTTTGGATCCTGAGGGATGAGACATGTTGGGAAGGGAAGGCCAAGAAGTGCATCTGGGATTACCCTGGGCCCCCCGTGTGCAGCCTCTTGTCTGGGGGGACACGAACACCCCCTTGCTTCTTGCTGCGGATCTGGGGAAGGGGGTGTCCAGGGCCTGGGGATGGAGCCGGGGGCCGTTTGGAGCTGGGCTTTGGGGCTCCCTTTGCCCTGATGTAAAGTCCCTTTGGGTGCATGTTCCCTTCGGCTCCCCGGGTTGCTTTTCCGCTAGATTAGTTGCAACTAAATCACTCACGAAGCACCGTTTTGAGGCAAGAAACCAAAATGCTGCCACTTCGGAGTCGTCGGAAGGGGTCACGGGGGCTCCCCCCGCACCCTCAAAGCCGCTTTGCTCCATCCGGTGGCCCCGGCAGAGGCTGCGAC